ACAAGAACAAACTGGGAGGAGGGTAGAGAGAATAGTGCAACAATGAATGAATGGAAACCCAAAATCTCTGTAAATGTTTATGAAAATTAGTAAAATATAATTATAGAAAAAAAAAAGATCCCTGCCTCACCTCCCATCTCTTGATCACACTGTCTGTGGAGGAACCTGACGGGACAGATGGTGACGGGACCAACTGAGGCCCCTCCGTTCCCTCTCACCAACCTCTGTTACTGCAGGGGTCAGTTCCACCTGTCAGCAGCTATGATGAAGTTCTGGGTTCAGCAGGTTCTGGGGACCAGTGTCACCACCTCTGTAGGACCCCTCTGGGCAGAAGGTGCCTCGGAGAGCACCCCCAAAGCCCTGGACCCAAGGGCCCTGAGGGCCACAAGGCTGGGTGAGGCCACCAGGCAGGGGCAGCTCCGCTTGGGGTGGGGACAGGGTGAGAGGTCTTCACAGGGCCTGACCTGTGTCTCTTTCCTTGCTGGTTTGAAAAGTTGCTAATGGTTATTTAAGAGGAAGAGGAAGGAAAAAATTCTCCCTGAATGCCAGGGAAATTTTTGCATTGACTCTCACAGAAACTTGGCCTTAAAAGGCGATGTGCACTGTGAGGCTGGAGGCGCCAGGGTGGGGACCGAGCCCAGGGTGCAGACATGGGGCACCATCTGGAGACAGGCTTGTGATGGCGCCCTGCCCGTGGGAGGGTTCTGGTGAGGGAGGGCAGGGCAAAGTGCAGGCAGCGCGCTCAGCCCAGCGGCCCATCACTGCCCAGCCAGCGGTGGTGAAGCCACACCGGGCCTCATCTGCCACTAGCTGCTGGGAGCCCAGCAGCCCCTGGATCTCAGCCTTACCCACCACTGGGTTCTCAGGCAGGCACGCAGGGCCAGTCAGAGGACTGCAGACAGTGCCTGGGGGCAGGCAGGAGCACGCCACTGCCCCCTCATGCTGGGCATTGTCTGCCTTCAATGAGACTGGCAGCAGAAGATCCTGTCTACACCAGAGCCCCTTCCAGGCAGGGGACGACCTGGATGGTGTCCTGTCTACACCAGAGCCCCTCCCAGGCAGGGGACGACCTGGATGGTGTCCTGTCTACACCAGAGCCCCTCCCAGGCAGGGGACGACCTGGATGGTGTCCTGTCTACAACATCCTTCACAAGTAGAAAATGGCCCAGTTGAGTGTCCAATCTACACCAAATCCCCTAAGAGGCAGGAGACAGCCAGGTGTTGCCTTGAGTGGAACAGCGGGGAGGAGTGGGGCCAGGCCAGGGTGGCCAGGCCCCATCAGGCCATGAGGCTATCTTCAGTGCCAATTACAGCCTAGGAAAGTCAGAGGAGCCGGTGGGGGCAGTCTGCACCAGAAGGAGAAACACAGATGGAAGCAGAGAGGTGTGTGAGGCACGTCTAGCACGGAGCTCAGGTACACGTCAAGTCCAGAACCACCCTCACCCCAGTGTTCCGAGAAAGTGCCAGTCACTGCTGGCCTGCCCAGCCCAGCCACGGCCACTCTGCAGATCAGGCACCAGCTATACTCGGTGTCCCTGACTGTCACACACAGACGTGGTGGCACTTAATCAAGCACCAGCTTCACTGAGAAAGTCTATGGTCTCCAGTGCACAGCCCCCGGTGGCTGCCCCAGGGCACAGAGCTCTCATGTCCACGTACAGCCTCCCCCCAGCAACTGTCCCAGAAACAAGACTCTACACTCAGAGCCCACAGCCCTTCTGCTGTCCCTGAGCTGAGACCTCCCTCCCACAGCGCACAGAGCCCTCATGTGCCCACCATGCCCACGCTAGTACAGGACGACCAGGGGAGTGAAGAGAGCTCTGACATATCAGCTGGATGGCACCGGCTCACAGAAGGATCCGAGAGGCTGGGGTCCTCAGGACCTTCCTGCCCCATCACCCACACCCTGCGGTTTGGCCCTTGGAGATTCCTGGAGGTGTTACAGCGCCCACCACACCTGCACCCAATTCAGGAGGCTGGCGTGAGGCCTCAGTGAGTCAGTGTTCACACAGAAGGTGGGATGGGGCGCCCAGCCCAGCCTCACCTGCCAGCACTGCTCACGCTCAGAACTCCACCCCCAGCACTGGGCGGGGGCGGGGGAATGGCGTGGGATGGAGGGTCCCCTGCCTGTAGGGGGTTGTAGTATAGACTGGACTGTGTAGGTTGGACACCCATCCAGGTCATCCCCTCTCCCCAGTACTGTCCCTGCCCAGGGCCCCCCTCTCCCAGCACTGCCCCATCCAGGGCCCCCTTCTCAGCACTGCCCACGTCCAGGTCATCCCCTCTCCCAGCACTGCCCACATCCAGGTCATCCCCTCTCCCAGCACTGCCCACATCCAGGTCATCCCCTCTCCCAGCACTGTCCCGTCCAGGGACCCCCTCTCCCAGCACTGCCCACATCCAGGTCATCCCCTCTCCCAGCACTGCCCACATCCAGGTCATCCCCTCTCCCAGCACTGCCCCATCCAGGGCCCCCTTCTCAGCACAGTCCCATCCAGGCCCCCCCCCAGCACTGTCGCGTCCAGGCCCCCTTCTCAGCACCGAGAGCAGCTCCCCAGGGACTCTGCCAGGTCGGCTTCCCCACACAAAGCAGGCCTTCATCAGCTGGAAGCTTCTACAACAAGGAGATCTGAGGTGGGAAAGGCCAGGACGGAGCCCCAGGGCAAAAGGCGCAGACACCTCAGCCACCTCATCCGGGGACTGCGGTCTCATCCGGGGACTGCATGCCGAGGCCACAGGGCCGGGGCACCTGCACGCACTACCCTCTCTCAGGGCAGCAGCCCCCCACCTCAGCCTGCCGACAGTCTGCTCTTCCTGCCTGTCACACTGGCCGGAGGCCGTGCCTCCAGAGAACAAGTGATCCCGTCCCCCACACAGACACGGCCCTGCACACGTATACAGACGTGCATGAGCACACACACGGGGACAGACACACCACTGCACACACATGCACAGATGGCACACGAGTCCACACATGGGGACGGACATGCCCAGCACACACACATACACGGCACGGCGCAGGACCACATACAGCAGCGTGCACAGAACACATGGTGCACTACCAACACAGCCACAGACGCCAACCAAGACTCTCGCCTAAGCCAGCGTGCAGCCAGTGAGCCCACAGCTTCCCACAGTTCCGCTCGAGCCTGAGGGAGTGCAGTGCTGCAAGCCCCTGGTCACCCTGCCTCGGGAGCCTGTCCATGAGGCCCAGGGACTGAGGAGGGGCCTGTGGAGGATGAGGTGCATCACCCAGGGACAGCACTGCCTGCGGGCGGCCACTACCACTCCGCTCGGCCTGACCAAAGCAAAGGCAGTGGCTGTGGAGATGGCAGGCTGACAGATGACTATGAAGGGACAGCTCTAAGGCCTCCCTGCTGTCATGGGCACGCTCACTGACCTGTCCACATGGCTGGAGTACAGTGAGGTGCGTTCCCTCCTCCAAGCCTGGCACCCCAGCACCCCAGGTGGCCAAGAGGCCATGCTGCTGCCCGAGGGAGGACACGCCCCCTCCACACTCACCATGCACACACCACACTTGCTACGCACACTCACCATGGAACACACACTCGCCAAGCGCACGTACACACACGTCACGTGCACACACCCGCCACACACACTCAGACAGGCTCATGCTGAGGTACCTGCAAGTGCACACACATGCACCTGTGGTAACACACATGCATACATGTATGTGCGAAGACAAACACGTCCACACACACATGCACACTCAACACACTCGTGTACACACCCAGTCACAAGACACATCCCCCCATACTTCAAATACACATTTTCACCCTCCAGACACATGCTCACACACAGGAAACACCAGCTCCCACGCTCGCAGGAACACAGGCAGGCTCGCTGAGCACACTTCCTTACACACTTTCTCACAAGCCACCTCACCACCAGAGGTCCTAGGAGTTGCTGGTTTGGGACACTGATGTCACAGGTGGGAGAGACCTGGTATCAAGTCAGAACAAGAGGAGGAAACTTTCAGGAAGGGCCTTCTTGCAGAGTCCGGGGAGCAGACAAGGGCTGGACAGACCTGCCCACATCATTGTCAGTCAGTGGGCCTGGGGGCGTGGTCACAGGGTTACTTAGCTACTTGGGGTGACAAGGGCAGTGGTGGGGGCTCAGTCTTCACCGTCCCCTACCACCCCCCACCCCCACCTCAGCAAGCTGCTCTCTCGTCTGCAGACAGTCTGGCTCTGGGAGCAGGGCACAAGGGAGCACACAGTGGCCACCCCTCTCCCTGCCAGCTGCTCCCCCAGCTCCACCCGGGGCTGCTCAGCCACCAGGAACTGATCCCAGATTGGCCTCCCGGGGAAGGAGCAGGGTGCCACCCCTCGCCCCCTGCAGGGCAGGGCAGTTACCTGAGCGCTCTGCCCACAGCCTGGAACACCATCTTGCAGCTGAGGCCAGCTTTGGGGGGCGGCCCATGCAAGGCCCCGTGGTCGCTAAGCATGGTCCAAAGAAGGGGTTGGAAGTGGGGACACAGGACACTGGACTCCAGCTCCCTCTCTCCCTGCAGAGCCGGTTCTTTCTCAGTGGAGCTAACAAGTGGCCCTGGATGCCCGAGTCGTCCCCTCCCGGGGCTGTCCCCTCCCTCTGCCCCCAGCCAATGAGGACACCGTGGAGGGCAGGGCTCTGGCCAGAGAGCTGTTCCTTTTGCAGAAAGGCCAACAGAGCTGCCGAAACTGGGGCGTATCAGAGGCAGCCCTGCAGTAAAGCACCAGGTGAGTGCTCGGCAGTGGAGGGCAGTGCTGCCCAAGCCCTCCCGTGGCCCGTGTGCAGGCTGCAGTGAGGACCCCGGGCTAGGCAGGCAGCCTGGCTGAGCCCTGCCGCAGGGGGCCCCCCGCCAGGCCATCAGGTGCACCTCTAGGGCTGCACTCATACAAAGGCCACACAGCCAGCCCTGCCCACAGCTGAGTGCACAGGGAGAAGCCTCATCCTGTCCCGCCCACGAGGATCCCACTGTCGGCACAGCTGCCAATCCCAGAAGGGCCGCCACGTCCTCGGATCCCAGAAAGCCCCGGACAGCGGGGTGATGAGAGCAAGGGGTGGCGCCCCCAGGGGCTTGACCCCACAGTGGACAGAGTGACTAGCAGAGAAGTGAGACAGAGAGGGGTGTAGGGACAGTCCCCCAGACTCTCAGCCCTGAGGAGGGGGTATAAGTTGTGAGTCCCTCTGCGGTGCATACAGAACAAGCCCTCATGAGGTGAACAAGCTGCTTTTCCGGACATCTTCCCACACCCAAAAAGCACAGCACCCCACTGTGGGGCTAGGGGGACCCATTCAGAAAGGGCCCTCGGCCCACACGAGGAGCAGGTACCAGGGGTTTCCTGATCTGGGATGATGGGCAACTTGGCCGGGCACAGCAAGCATCTACCGCCATGATACCCAGCAGGGCTGGCCTGAACGCCAGGGAGGCAGCAGTGACCCCAGCTGGCCAAACTGGTCGGTGAGCCAGGACAGGGCTGCAAGCCCAGCGCCTCTGACAACACACCCCCTGCTTGGCTGTCTGCTCAACTGTCCCTCCACACACAGGCGTACAGAGCACAGACTGGGCGCAGGGACAGGACTGACCCTACCGTGGTGCCAGGGTGCAGGTGTGGCCGGGTGTAGATCACAAGCAAGCTGCCCAGGTGTGCAGGGGCAAGACTGACCCCACCAGGCACCCATGGCCCAGGTTCTGTCCTCTGCCCACAGCACCCCAGGGGGACAGGAAGGGGCAGGCTGGTGTCATGGCAGGGCCGCATCTCAGGCCAAAACAAGGCCCTCCCCACAAAGCCCGAGACCCTATTGTTGGACCCCACCTGCTGCTAAGATCGCCACTGGCTGCCCTACCAGAGCCTTTGCCAGAGCCCAGCGGGCCTACCTAGCATAGCAGGTACGTGCAGGCCACAGGGAGGCCGCTAGAGGCCCCTCTGTCCATCCTCTGGGCTTCTGACCACGTCAGCCGTTCTGAAGAGCAGGCTAGCACTCTGGACGGTGCCTGCAGGGGGCTAAGCTCTTCTCCCGGGCAGTCGGGCAGTCGTCTGTGAGAAGACCTCAGAGTTAAGTCCACGCCTGCCATGCCCGTGATGGCTCCTGCCATCTCCACACCATTACTGCCCACACTGGCCTGGACCACGGTCACTGCTGTCCATGCTGGACTGGACCACAGCATTGCTGCCCACTCTGGTCTAGACCACAGTCATCGCTGCCCATGCTGACCTGGACCACGGACATCGCTGCCCATGCTGACGTGGACCACGGACATCGCTGCCCATGCTGACGTGGACCACAGTCATCGCTGCCCATGCTGACGTGGACCATGGACATCGCTGTCCATGCTGACGTGGACCACGGACATCGCTGCCCATGCTGACGTGGACCATGGACATCGCTGTCCATGCTGACGTGGACCATGGTCATCGCTGCCCACAGTCATCACTGCCCATGTTTGGCTGGACCACGGGCATCGCTGCCCATGTTTGGCTGGACCACGGTCATCACTGCCCATGCTGGCCTGGACCACTGCCTTCTTCACACAGAAGTCCCTGTGCACAGCCAGACCCATGTGGAGCTGACGTGGGATTCTCTGTCATGAACTTCAGGTCTGTATCAGTGTGGCTTCACAGGTGTGCGTTTTATACCAGGGTTATGCACCAGCACCACCTTGCCTTCCTTGTTAACCATGCTGTCTAACACCCACCACCGGGCTCTCCAGGAGACCCACCCCATCACATGGTGTGGGGCTGTCTCAGCCTGCCTGACTTGTTCCGCCCTTTTCCAGGAGCACTCTTGGTTCTGACATCTCACTGCTCACTGACTGGCTCACTGCTCACACCCTCTCCACACGCTCTGGTTCCATCATCTAAGAGTGGTGCAGAGACCAAGCTGACAGCATCGGCCACAGACGAGGAGACATTCGTCCACTGGCCCCTTACCAAACACACCACCTTCAAGGTGCCATCTGTACCGAGTGAAGGAGCCCACGTACACACTGAGTTCTCCACCACAGATGTGCTGACTCCCACATCAACACTCAGAGCACAGACACCATTTTCCCATCACTCTGAAAACATAGAAGAAACCGAGCAGAGCACTCCTTGCCCAAGGCCCCTTCAAACAGTGCAGGTGAGCTCACCTTGCTCAAGAGCAAGCACAAGGGAGCTCTGGTGGCCTAGTGGCAAGAAGCTACACTGCAATCCCAGAGGTTCCCGTTTCAAATCCACCAGATGCTCTGCTGGAAAAGTAGGGACAATCTCCTCCTGTACCAGTCAGATCCGATTTGACGGCGCACACACACACACACACACACGAATAAAATAATTTTTTTTAAAAAAAGTAACAAGCATGAGGCCACAACAGAAGCCCCTGGAACCTCCAAGAGACAAGTTGTTGTTAGTGAACAACAGATGAGAACCCTGTCCCATCCCTACAATCTCTGACACACGTAAGCCCACTGCTGCAGTCACTGTGTGAATCCATCTCATTGAGGGTCTTCATCCTTCACTAACCCTCCACCTTTCTAAGCCTGATGTCCCTTTCCAAGGAATAGCCTTTCCTAGCAATATACCCAAAGCATGAGATGAAGTTACATCACCTTTGCCTCCAAGGAGCCCTGCACTTTCCCCAGACCTATCTGTTCGTTCTTTTGGTAGTCCATGGGGTACCCAGCACTCTCCGAGACAACTCAAAGGCTTCCTCTTCTGCCATCCTTATTGTCTGTACATATCAGATGGGTAGCAAGTGATTGAAAAATCTGCGGCCTGAAACAGGTGCACCCTAGTCTTCAAAGTGACATTGTTGATCCTCAGTACTTTGGAAAGGTTCCTGACAGCGGACCTGCCCAAGGCAATATACCTCCTGATCTCCTGACTGTTGAGACCAAGGGTGCTGACTGTTGTTGATCCAAGCAAGACAAATAGTTGACAATATGAATCTTTTCTCCATCTATCATGATGTTGTCTATTGGCCCAGTTGTGAGAACCTTTGTTTTCTTGATGCTGAGATATAATCCATACTGAAGACTGTAGTCCTTGATCTTCTGCAGCAAGTGTTTCAAGTCCTCTTCACTTTCAGCAAGCAAGGATGTATCGTCTGCGTAATGCAGGTGCTGAAGCATTCCTCTGATCCTGAGCCACATTCGTCTTGACAGAGTCCAGCTTCATGAATCATTTTCTCAGCATACAGACGGAAAAGATTTGGAGAGAGGACACATATCTGATGCACACCCTTTCTGATTTTAAGCCCTGTACTGTTCTGCTCTGTTCGCACAACAGCTTCCTGGTCTAGGTGTAGATCTTGCTTGAGCACAACTAAGAGTTCTGGGATCCCGTTCTTCTCAATGTCAGCCATAGTTTGGGGTGATCCACACAGTCAAATGCTTTTGTATAGTCAATGAAAGACAACATTGACATTCTTCTGATATTTTCTGCTTTCGGCCAGGATTTATCTGACATTAGCAATAATATCCCTGGTACCATGATCTCATCTAAACCCCTCTTGAACTTCTAATAGTTCATCAATGTACTGTTCTAGCCCTTTTTTGGGTCACTTCCCCCCGCTTTAATTGGTTTGCGTACAAAGTTTGTATACACTGTGTTTCACAGTGCCCTTCATGCTTATTGTTTCATACAAGCATTCTCATGTATGCTGCTTTGTAAAACTCATCCCCACTGGTCCTTGCCCATCTCTACCCTGTCTTTTCACCCGGGTCCTTCCCATTTCCTTCCCTCTCCCTCCACCCACCAAACTGCAGCCCCTGTGGTTTCACCCCTACCCCTTCCCCCTTTGAGTTCCCATACATGTTTTACTAGTCATTCATCTGTTGTTGCTGTTAAGTGCCATCGAGTGACCTGCAGTACACAGCGACCGTATGTACAGCAGCTCTGAACCCCGCCCCGTCCTGAGCCAATCTCACTAATTCCAACACGCCAACCCCCACTGCCCCAGTTACTGTATCAATCCATCTCATTTGAGGTCTTCCACTCCTGTATTGTCCCTCCACCCTTCAGAGCATGATGCCCTTCTCCAAGGACCAGCTTCTCCTGGCCATGTGTCCAAAATATGTGATGAGATGAAGCTTAAAATCCTAGCCTCCAAGGAGATACTTGGTTTCACCCTGGAAGTCCATGACTTGGCAGTTCAAGACTCTTCTCCAGCACAACTCAAAGGCATTGATACTTTTTCTGTCATCCTTAGTCACTGTCCAGCTCTCTGATGCATAGCAAGTAATTGCAAAGACCATGGCCTGGATCAGGCACTAGACTGACATTGTTGCTTTTCAGTACTCTGGAGATGTCCCTGACAGATTTTCCCAATGCAATTAGTCTTTTGATTTCCTGACTGCTGGTGTTAAATAAAGAGTGTTGATTGTGGAGCCAAGGAAGCTGTAATTGTTAACAACTTCAATCTCTTCTCCATCCATCCATCGTGCTGCCAACTGGCCCAGTGGTGAGTAATATGCCCAAAGTA